GCGTTTACAGTTTCTCTCTTTGTTTACTGTGTTTTTGAATAAGTGACAAGCTTTTTTGTTTTTTCTTTTTTCACAATTTTTATTTGGTTTGTTGCTTTTTAACATGGAGTGGTTATTTACATCATGTCGAACCAAAACAGACCCTGATTCTGAGCGATTCATTAGCTGTTGGCTTTGCGAGCGTTATTGTCATGCGAAGTGTGTGTACAGATAGTACTGGCCGTGCTGCAGACAGAGTTCTAGATCCTTCAAAAAGATTATGTTGGTCGTGTCCTAATTGAACTAAACGATACATTGACTTTTACCAACGTTTCACAAAACCTCTGAATTAAGAAAAAATCTCGTGACGCTGTGTAGAAACTTTGGAAAAATCAAGAGAATGTACAATTGGTTTCACTGTCTAGAGCACCCTTTTTTTCCCCCAGCCTTCAAAAGACCAACTCGTATTGTAGCGTGTGGTACTTCACCTCCGTCTTCACATAAATCCCATATATGGATTCATTTAAGTGTTCCAACTTTCTTTTCTAACTGTGATTACTTTTCGGAGTGATTTGTCTTTTGTGTTAGTCGATGCCTTAGTCAGTTTGTGTCTACTATACACATATCAGCATACCATTTGCTCTCGTAAAAATTCAGCTTTACATATACAGACTGACTTTGTACTATTCTTTCTCTTTTCATAATTATTCGTTTCTTTCTTTTTTTTTTTAATATACGTAGCATTATGAAGAGCGGTGAACATTAACGGTATTACGTTATTATATAAAGTAGAGCTCTCTCGTGACAAGCAAATTAAAAATGAGACCGGCAGAAACCCCCTACACGTATGTATGCGGGTGGATTAGATGAGCTACTTGACGCGAATCTGGATGCCGCTGCGGATATGGGGTTGCACGTCAAGGCTATCGTCTGCGACCGAAACACCTTTAACTGACGAATACTCGGAAGAAAATTCGTCAACGGTGTTTACAGAAGAAAGCGGGTAGACGGCAGCACCTACTTAATACGTCTGCTACTTACATTTGTAGGAAGCACTCCTAACTAAATTCAAGAAGGAAAAGGAAGGCATATACGATCTCCAACTGCTTGTAAAGCTGGCGAAAGTGAAGGCGCCCAGCTCACCATTCTGGAAGCAGATTGGTTGTATGCCGTCGTATAGCTCGCCATGGGGGTCGCGCGTTGTGATTATGCAAATGCTGAATGATACGCAGGTCGCGACTTTCCAGACGGCTATACAGAGTAAGGAGGTCGACAACTCCGACGGCAAGGCGCAAAGAACATACAACATACTCTTGGCGTTGAATGAGTTCACCAACGTCCTGCACCGGAGCCCCATCAACTCAGGACGTGGATACAGCTCAAATCTAAACTCCACTATGCCCGAGATTATCTGAAGAACAATTTAGACATGGACTATGTAGTGTTGGACATGAGATTAACTATCAAGAATTTCATTAACATAATGGAGGAGCTGCTGAGGGCTTATCCTAATGTTACTATCGCGCCCTACAGAGTAAACTCGGACACGTTGGAGTGGTTCTTTCACAATATGACGCTCTGCATGTAGATGCATATTCGGTCGTCGCCAGAAATAATGGAGCTGGTGGAACGACTCAGGAACTCGCAGCTGTCAAATTGGTCTAGCGTCGCCAGGTCGGGCGATGATTATTTGCTCATCGAGGAAGTAAGCTGCAAACTCGCGGCGAGAATCGAAGAACAGTTTGTGGCTTACGACCTTAATGGGGAAACATTCCCCGACTGAATCATCAATAAAATGTCACACATCGAAGAAGAGCACCGGCGGTTGAAATGTTTAATAATGTTTAATCAAGTTTAATCAAGTTTAATCAGGTTTAATGATGTTTAATCAGATTTTATATCACTTTTGGCTGTCAATTTTTCAAGGGGAGATAAACTATGCTTTAATGGGGAGCATAGATTTCCTAAACCCTCACCTCCAAGTGGTGATCCCCGGGCAACGGCTTCGGCCGGCTAAGAAGGGTTTAAGGGTTTGGGCTACTAACTCGGCGACGAGTTTCTGAGAGATGGTGGAGGGGTTCGCTGGAAGATGAACTCCTCACTCATGAAGCTAATTACTACCTAGGAAGTTAATAGGGTATAGTACGTAGAGGTAGTAATTTAGCGATTGCATGGTAGATCACCCCCGCCATGTCAGTGCAATGCCGGAGACTTATATATCTTGATGAAAAGAAGTTCTGGGTTTGGCTAACCAGGATGGTATGGTATCCAAAGGCAAGAGTGGTCTGAGAGGTCAGCCACGCAAAGTATGCCTAAGGCTTCGTAACTAATGCGGGGAGCCACGGGGGTCAGGAGTCCGCTCACTAAGCCATGTATGCCTGCGGGTAAATGATGGGATTGAAATTAAGAGTTGTAACAAAAATTTAAAATTACCTTATATATGTATGTAAGACATCTTATGAAATATAAGATGCATTGGATTTACTCGATAAAGAGCCGATCTATTCTCAATTATATATAATATAAATTAAAGGTGTTTTGTTTCTTTTGCCTTGAATATGTACCTCTAAGGGGTGCATATTAGAGTGTTATATCCTTAAAATAATATGAGTTAATCAGATGTATAAATGAAAGAAAAGGGATTTGACGGCAGGCTTTTCTACCCTTTTTGACTATATTTTTACACTTTAAATTATACACTTTAAATCATATATTCACGGATGCCTAGTGGCAATGGTGTTTAATTGATTGATGGCCCTTGTGGAAACCTTATGGTGGAAACAAGCGCATTTTTCTTTCCCCTTTTTGAACACATATAGTTGATCAATTTGTGAGCCCTGACTGCTTGGGTGCGTCTTTTCGAGGAGTACTCGTGGTGGTTGTGGTTGGTAGTTCCAAGCCAAAGTGGAACAATCGAGTGCAGCTAGGCCTCACCACTGACGAGAGTGGGGTTTATTGATCCATACGCAATAAACTGTTCTGGACTCTGGTGCTGCTTAGGCCCCTACTCTGTGGGGATTGTTTAACTCGCCAGAGGGCCTTTATTACGCTAAAAGTGGTTTGGGCCACCGTGGGGTTAAGCCATCTTGGAAGAACCCACATTAAACCCATCCTACAAATCTGTCAATTTTTGAAATGTTTAATAATGGTTAATCAAGTTTAATCCAGTTTAATCAAGTTTCATCAGGTTTAATCAAGTTTAATGGTGTTTAATGATGTTTAATGATGTTTAATCAGGTTTTTTATGGTTTTTGGCTGTCAATTTTTGAAATGTTCAATAATGTTTAATCAGGCTGAAAGGAGACTATTATTCGACTGAAAGCGTACAATAACCGGCACAATCTAAACTAAATTCTTCCACGCAATAGCACGTAAGTTAAATAAGTTTTTTCATTTTTTTGGGTTTATTGGGTTTATGCTTTTTTCCTTTTGATTAATTAATTAAAACACAATCTTTTCATTTTTTATTTTATTTAACAAATTTTATTTTTAGGAACTTTGGTGTTACAGACTATCTTAGAGGAAACCTAGGGTTATCCAATTATCGACAGCCAGCACTTATGTTTATAGTAGGCTGCAATAGGATATTGGTGAGAAATGTTTATAGTAGGGTGCAACAGGACATCGGTGAGAAATGTTTACAATGAGTTCATATGACACTCATTGTTTATGAACCTTTATGTTTGTTTACTTTACTTATAAGGGTGATTCGTGAATTTGTGCGTTTTATTAGGGTGGTCCTCAACGTGTATGTAGAAAAGAGCAAGTCGAAAATGGCAAGAAGGGAAAATGACGAAAAGTGACTAAAAAAAGTGACTAGAAGAGGTAGTGCTACCACGGAGAACAACGACGTCAATCCAAAATAGCACGAGTGCGGTCAATAAAGTGAAGCAACTACAATATTAATGCCAATTAATCACGATGATGTAGGCAAGCTTCATAAAAAGAAAACATCAGAATATGCAGAAGACAATGAGAAAAGTACCAATATGATGTTTACATAGTCCTGCTTAAAACCATATTAAACTTGATTAAATCAAAATTGACAATTGGTATGATGGCGCAACATCACAGCAAGACTCTAAATGTGTCTGGTGGGCTTCGACAGAAAATTTCTTCAAATTAAACAACGAAAGTAATAAAATTTCAAAATGCAATTTTAAGCTCTCCGTGATTAGCGTGGGAAAGGGAATAAGGGAATTTGTTCTAATAGTCAAAGTTTTTCTGCATAACTGTAACTTATATATGTATATCGTATGTATCGTACATATGTACAAGTATGGCGGCGCACTTGCGCCGTTGTATGTATTGTATATATTATTGTTGTTGTTGTATGCCGTCAATATGAACTATCGGAAGAGATGTAAATCAAAGTAGTACAAAAAAGTAAAAAAGGTAGTTATTTAGATGCTTTACAGATTCATATTTTAATAAATTTTTTATTTTAAACATTTTTTTGGCAAATAAAACTATCAAATATAAAAATGGTTATACAAGTTGATGTAATACGATCATTAAGATCACCATTATTCACGATGTTTAAATCAAGAAATTACACGGAATTCGTGCAAAAAGTAGTGAGATTTTATTTTCACCATTATTCATATTTACAGAAAAGCAACTCTTTCCTCTCTTCATACATGGTCCTTTTCTTATATAAGAATAAGAATAGATTAAGATAGAATAGCAGTGGATTAAGAATAGAAAAGGATAGATTAAGCATAGGCTAACGATAGGTTAAGAGTAGGATATAAAAATAGGTTAAGTCAGTCGAGCTTCAGTCGTCGACGTGAAGAGTTGAGTTCTTGCCTCCGAAGTAGTTAGAAAGTTAGCGAAAAAAATAAAGTAGAGTGAAATCTATAAAATAAAGGTCCCTGCAACCAAAATGTCTTGTGTTTTTCCCTCCCTGGGCCGCTGAGCTGCCCCAGTCATAAGGAAAGGGACGTAACGTCCTCACAGTATATGTGTATATAAAACGCTCACAAGCAAAACCCATAAATTGAAATCAACAACTTTCGAACATGCTGAAACAACAATATGAAGCATTGTTGAGTTTTTCCAGGAAAATTGGAATTTCGGGAAAGGAAAGATACACTGGTAAAGTCAGGCAAAGTCAAACGGGAGGTGCTGAAGGTCCGCAAAATTTTAGAATTTTAGCAGCAACATCTACACTCAATCAGGATGTTCCATTCCATGCAAGAGAACGAGGAAACATGAATGTTAAGCCAATTCAGCACCGACAATATCAGAGGTTCGTTTATGCAGTGATGAATAGACCTGTAGGCGAAATGGTTGATTTAAATCGCTGGAACTTAAATTATGATGTATATGGCAAAGGTTTTACAGTCGACAGTTTTATTATTAAGATTGAACTGCATTTGAGAGAAGAGCAATAGATAAATTATTACGAGTTGTTTACTGAATTCCACTGCTTATTAACAGGAAAGGTAAATAAGTGTTATTGGCAACTGTTAGAGCCACCTTTGACTATTTTTTGCTTATAAGCGTTCTGTTAGATCAGCTTAAAGAGCCAGTTTCAGATTATGAGTTAATTAGGGAATTCAAGGAAAGTAAACAGCAGCCGGCGGGATGTTTCGAAGACTACTATGTGTAAATCCATATCTTAACCTTTAGGATGAGAAAAAAAAATTCAAGAGCGGGAATTAATTAAAATCATTAAATCCAATGTTAAATGAAGTCTTGCGAATACTATTTTTGCGTTCAAAGTAGAAAATATCCGGAACTGAAAGCGGAGTGTAAAAGGGTGGAAAAGCTGCTCAGAGAAGATAGAACCAGAACATAGAACCAGAGACATAGTAATGACGTCAGTTGGCAAGATAAATGTGTCCAGATCGCCAGAAATGAAGCAGTTGAAGCCTTCGAGCTTCAGAGCAACAAGTCTAACAATATACAGCGAAAATCTAGCGGTATTGATAAAATTAACAGAGGGCAAGTTAACATTCACAATATGAGCAAAAACACTGTAAATCGACTTCCATCTTAACCTATTATATTGCGCGTAGTTCAACCAGGAACTTCGCAAATGGTCCCGCCAAATATGCAGCCAATAGTAAACCCTAATTATATTCAATCACCCACGGTTATCTCTACCGCAACCTTGAGTAGACCCTTGTGTCAATCGCTTTTCCACTTAACCTTATGTTATGTCTGTGGTATGCCTAGAGATTTCTTCCTCAAAAATCCCCTGGACGCTTTCAGAGAATGTCGCTCTAGACACCCTATGATTTGTTTTGTGTGCGGCAAAATTGAAAACTTGTACACATTCCCATCATCGGGAAATACTGTCTGGTGGAGTACACCGGGAGCTGTTGCTAGTCCCTAACACCTGAGGAACAAGTGGTTACACCTCGAAAAAGTTTCAGTCAACGAATTTTAGACTATCAGCGGAAAGGTTTTCAATATTAGAAGCTCCTTTTTCTTCTGGAAAAATCAAGTGACACAAACTCTTTACATTAATGATGCCTTGAAAATTACATATATAGAAGGTTAAAAAAACTTTTCCGTCATTTAAAAAGTTTATGCTTAAATCAGCTTTCTATGCTCCGCAGGCTAATGCTGCTGAACGAACCAATAGATCTATTTTGCAGATTATACGATAACATCTTATAGAAGATCAGAAAACCTAGGACGTACACCTCAGTGAATTGCGTTTTCTCTAAGAAGTGCTATACACAGCTCAATAGGCATAACACCATTCTATGCTTTACTTGGCCTAAACATAATGCAACATGGATACTTTTATAAATTAACTCGAAAACTCCCTAGCTACAAGAATAATGATACCAGCAAATATGCAACTCGTACACTACACGACTGAAAGAAGCATATGAAAGAAACTAACAGACCTATAATATAAAAAATAGGCAAATTTAATTCAAATTGAACATATAGTATACAGAAAAAATTTAAGACTAGGTCAGACTGCAGGTTATAATGCGAAGCTAGCACCATCGAATATCCAATGTATGGTTACAAAAGTAATGGGAAATTCTCTTTACAAAATCAGTACTCTAACAGGAAAGAAACTAGGCGTTTGTCACGCCAAAGACACATTTTCTTTTTGACATGTTTTTATTTGATTTTTAATTAAACAACCACCCGACTAACTCAGCCCGACTGTTGCATTTTTGTGGCACACTTCAAGCTGTTCATATTTCTGGAGTAAACAAACGTATAAATGCAAGTGTATCATTTTATAATATTTGTTTAATGTAATGCATAGTAAAATATTTCGACATTAGTTTATGATAATTACAATTTATAATCTACTTTTTACCAATATGAGCTCTTTAATCCGCTCAGAGTAGTTTGCAAGAACCTAAATGACGTCTATCACTTATTCCCGTTATCGGTCTCTTTAAAGTCCATTAAAGCAACATTGCTTAATACGCGCGATTTATTTATGTCTTACTTAAACTAGCTTCTATCCTTAAAAGTCGTTACGATTCGAAAATGAATTGTTGTTAGTATTATCGATTGCCAGGCTTATGCATGTTTGCGATAGCTTAGGGGTTCATTTGCAATTTGGTCCTGTACCGGTTGTGGGTGTGGCTCTATGCTGGTTGTGTACATTCTTTTTTTCTTTTTTTTTTCCTTCTTATTTGTTTTATTGTACTTATACTAAGTTTTATTATTATTTGAATATAAGTTTTGCTTTAAATGCCAATTGAACTTGACTGTTATTTGTTTAATTGAGTTTCAAGTATAAGTCGAATTAAAATAAATAAATAAATAAATAAAACTTTATCATTTGTTCACCTACATTGATCGGCTTTTTTTGATCTTTTACCGTTTCTTCCAGTTCAAGTGCTGGAAAAAACAACTCAAATAAGTTGGTACGACCAGATGAAACATTTGGTCGCCTAATACCAACCAGGCTAGGTCTTTATTACCTTCTATTTTGCAAACTGATGTGTTACTGTTATTGAAAAAGTGCGAAATTTCCAAAAGCGTTGTGTTTGTACCACAAATATAGTAAGTATAATATTATGATTAAGAACTAATCTATGTACCCTTTCTAGTAAGTTTTTTACTTTCTTTTTATGATTGTAAAATAATAAATGACAATAGTGTAATGCAAATTACAAAAACAAGTTGAAAGATGTTTTTTGAGTAGAACAAAAGAAGGTTTCGTAAGGATGGGGTAAGTAAGTGAGTGTGTGTGTGTGGATGTAATCACGGTTGGTGTCTTAACGGATCGAGAAAAACACAGACGCAGAGTAACGAACAGCAGAACAATAATGACGGACCGTGTGACTGTTATGTTACGTCACGCCATTAGACCCCGACAGGTTTGAATTATTTATAATTTACATTTGTAAATCTGGCTTGGCTAGCCACGCGACACAAAGTGTAGCAGCCCTATCTATAAAACACATTACAGATATCAAAATGATTTTGTTGCTGATTACAATGATTTTTTTTTTTTAATCTTTAAATACTCACGGTGAGCGCTTTAGTTGCTCTAGTTATTTATCGGAATTAAAGGAAGTTAAGATAACGTTAAATGGTTGGGATATGTTTATGATGGTTAAATTTCGAGCGAGTGCGGGAAGGTTGTGTGATTTTTAGATTTCTCTGGTGTTGTATTTTTTGGTGGGGATATATGGGTAGTAGAGCGAATACGGGCGGAAACTGTTAGATAAAGTCAACTGAGTTTATAGAGAATTAGATGTGGTCACTACCATAACTAATACTAAACGCTTATATATAACATCTATTAGTAGATCGTATTTCCTTAAGAAATCAGCCCTAGTGATTAGTCTGGAGATATTGGCAATCATAATCACGAATGGAAACTTATGGCGAATATTCAAATAATATTTAACATTTTTTTAGGATATGTATTAACGGTTGAACCATTGGCTGCTGTCAAGGTAATATCGGACGATTTTTTGTTGTTCTGAAATGTCGACGATGGAAGGACCGAAACTTCTCCGTCACTCATTATAAAAAAATTTAATTTGTTTTGTTTACCAGATATAAAAAGGGAGAGCTATGCGTATTTAATATTTCCACAGTTCGCCGCCGCAATTATGGATTCTTTTCGTTTTTTGGACATTTAATTTTAAATATGCACACGGATGTTCGCACTACCTGGCTTTGTTACCGAATTTGTGCTGGTATCTGCGAAGCCAGTTAGGGATTCTTCCGAACAATGGTTTATCAGGGGAACGCGTTCTACACTTGCAACGATTGGATCTAGAATCCTGTTGAATCAACTGCGCTTTCATGCTACCGAAGCTACCGACTTCAAATTTGGTATTGAAAACGAGCCAAATTGGTCAGAGCAGAAGCGCGTGGGGCGTAAACTGAACACAACTCAGTTTTTTTTAAGCAAAAATTTGTTGGTCTTTGCTCGTTACTCGCAAATTATTAAAGTTAAAACCCTGGCATTTTCCACATTTACTTAACGAACCAGTCTACTCTTTACGTCTAAAATGAAAACAATCGGACACGCCTATAGAAAGTAGGAATAGGAGTATTTAAATTTTATTTTTTCACTTTTTGAGGTTTTACGTTTACTTAACATAAGGCAAACAGGACAGAATGCTTAAAACGATTTTGTACGTTCTTCAAAGGAAGATATATTATCTGTCCAAAAATGGGTTGATTTTAAAGTGAGTATGGCAGACACCGCGATTAATTTTTTCTTAATAACACCAGCGATATGAGTATCAAATATAATCAAATATCGTGGTGGGTATGCGCGATTCGGCCCTCGCCGAGTATAACTTTCTTACTTGGTTTGTGTGGTTTCTTACTGCTTTTTTTAAATGTACAAGATCTTTTGAATTTCAAACTTTAGAAAATGAAAATGTTGTAAATATTTGAGGTTTTGCAATAAAACAAGAACAACGAAAGAACAATAAAGAAAAGGAAAACTTAGCTGCTCTCCTATTACTTCTTTCGTTTTTTGAGCTTGATTGTTGTAATTTTCTCTTACCTACTTGCACACTGCTCTTTTCAATGTTTGTCTTTTTGCCTTTGAATGAGGGATAGTATCCAATGTGGTATTGAATCAAATGATTATGGGTTTTATTTAGCGTCGACTATTTGTTTTAACTGGCTGATTGATTGGGTGATTATTGATTACGAAGTTGAAAAGAATGCTAAAGAATTGCTGGCGCTTAATTTTCTTTGGTTTTTTTTGCATTTTGTATACCCATCACTGAAGGATGGGAGTATACTCCTTACCGTTAATGTATAAATTACATATAAGGGGACCTAGATGGTTGCCTTGAAGGACACCAGATGAACCTTGAGTGATCTGTCATACAGATACGAGCGTATCCCTACTACGTAGAAAGGGAAGCTAGAGGCCTGGAGTTTAAAGATCAATAAATGAAAACTCTTGGAATAACACCACATAGCTCAACAGAGCATGTTTTAAGTGTACATAATAGAATCCCATCAGGTCCAGGCGCAGAACTATATTGTAGTGTGATCGCATATCCTTATATGCATCCACTTTGAAGTGTGACAGAATTCTGCAAATTCAGCATAATTCTTTTGCTAAAAGAAAAATGAAAATTTTGTCACACTTTACCTGGCTGAATACTGCATTATGAAATGCAATACGATGCCATGCGCTCCAATTAAAACAATTATTATTTGTTTACATTAGCATAATTTAGTGTAATAATTTGTGTATAAATAACCAGGTAAGAATTGAATAAAATCAATTATCAAAAAGCAATTCAAAAGTGCTTAGTTCGCTAGAACAACAAAAGCCGTTCCATCCGCCTAAAATTATAGATAGGGACTGCTTCATGCCGATCTCGATTGGCGTTTTATGAAGCAGATTGACTTGGCGTTCTGAAGTCGAGCAGCGTAAAGTAATACACCGTAAAAATCTTGAATAACACTCTGGAAAGATTCATAGGGAATCTTTCCGCAAATAAACATTTACCCACTCCAAACGAATAACTTATATTACAATATTTTAGAGACTAAACCATCTAAAACATAATTTTCTGAAGAAACTGAAAGAAATATCTGGGATTAATCAATAGATATCACCAGAGGACTCGGATCCATTAAAAGACACATGCGAGGGATATACGGACATCTTCTTTTTGGACTTAGCAAACTTAAAAAAATATTTAGGATTAAACAGTGGGGATTTTATCAGCTGAAGGTATCGGCAATAACATTGGTGGTTGAGGTAATTGAATCTACGCCTTGCAGCAGAATAGGCGAAAACTAGCTTTTACTGAATTTTTTAACTTGACAAATCTGACGATTGAATGTTTTCTTAAAACAATAGATATGCATAAATATTGGTAGTTGAAGTAATTAATTCTATGCCTTGCAGCAGTGTAAGCAGAACCACTTTTCATAAATTTTTTGGAAAGTTTGTTTTTCTTATTTTTGTAATATTTAATTGTCGCGAAGTTGCTTGATCGGAACAGATGCAAAAATTTTCTATGTTTAATACATTATAAAACGAATATATATATTTTCAGCCGAAAAATCGAGCATAATGTGTGAAAGCCGAGATGTAACCAGTAAAATAAGCAAACGCCAATTTGTCCATCATATTCCTATTATTTTTTCGAAATAAATTTTGAATAAAGAATTGCACATAAAACTTACGCCGCCCAAACGAGAGCCAGTTAACGAAAATATACATAATCAGTGGCTTAATGTTTTCACAGTACTTATATATGTTGCATTAAAACAATTTTCTTCTCAGTAGGTTTAAAAAAAAAATATTTATATATCAACTAAAGAATGTAAAATTTAAGCAAAAATTTAAAAAATATTTTTTTGTCTAAACAAATTTGAATCACATTAAAAGTTTTATTTTTGTCCAATTTACGTGCGTCCGGTTTGAAATTTTCAACTAATTTGTGTAATTTTAAGAAGGAACAAAGTGACCACTTTTTGCGAAAGAGATTCCGGGAAATGCGATATTGATACAGTTTTGTAATCAGTACATAAATGTTAACGAAGCTTATTGAAGTGTGGACAATTACGTGTTTAGAAAGGAAGCAAAGGAGTTACTGATGTCGAAAACATATCAGCCCCCAAGACAAACCCTACATCACACGATTTCAAGGATGTCGATAAATGAAGCCGCTTTTTTGCCAAATATTTTGCAACAACAGCAGCAAAAGCAAAAAGAAAATAATTGCTCTGAGCAAGATTTCTATCTTGGTAAACTTAGGCATTCGAATGTGCAACGATCACCTACTCAAAGTCATCTTAGTACAGCGGGTGATCGAAGCACTGCCCCTTATTCCCAAAATCGACCTTCCCAAGAGGCAAAGCGTCGCCGTCGTTGCTCAAATCGTAAAAACCACGACGAACAACAACACCATTACAACAACAATTATCGCTTTAATAATCATCGTAATCGTACGAATTATTATCGAGAGCAACAGCAGCCGCAACCAATCAATAGTGAATTATGTCCAACAAAATGTACAGCTGAAATGGAAAAGATAGCTCTTGACTATTTACAATGCGCGATTCAATGTCTAAACAACAACACTGGCGATTTGGATAGAATTTCCACACGCTTTTCCTCAATGTTTGAGGGTATGGAAAGCAATGTGTTTGTGCTGTCTAACGCTATGGAGGAGATATTTAACGAATCGATGAAGAATGCTAACTTTTGTTACATAGGCGCTAAGTTGTATTGTCTTCTGTACAAACTAAATCCTCAAAAAGATTCGCTTTTCTACACCTTGCTTAAATACCAGCTAGATTTTCACCAAAATGAAGTGAAGGAATATAAAAAGAACAATCAAGAAAGAAAAATGCGTGAAACTACATTATTTTTAGCTGAATTATATATGCAATTACGTGGTGAGGAGTGCCACACACAATTTATAGCTGAACGCATTTTATATTCGCTAAAGCGGCTGCTAACAGAAAACTTTGAGAATGTGCGTTGTGTATGCTTAACATTGAAATTGGCCGGATATGATTTGACTGCTGATTCCTCAAAGGGCATGGAGGACATAATTTTGGAATTGAACGCTATTCACCGTCGATCACCAGGCTTATATCCATTGGTATCTATTGTTATAGCTCTGCAAGAAAACAATTGGGGCAGGAAAGTATCTCGCTCAAAAACCCCCACCGAAGACACCAAACTTATTGACTCCTTTCGGTATAATGACGGTCCTGTGTTCTATGGTCCTGATGGCAGTGTTATAACCAAGGAGGAATGTGAATTCTTAACTACGAATGGTATAGGTATATCTGATTCCACTGACAACGTCGATATCGATAACGATTACGACATTGTCCTCGATCCTGAGATGGACGAAGAAACAGAACGCGCATACATAGAATTTACTAAACAGAGTGCCAACTTACGGAAATAGGGCCAGCGGCGTTTTATTCATATATTTGCTTAAGAATTTGAGCACCGAAATTACATTTCTGTTATATACTGTCGAAACTATAATTTTCATCTATCCCCACATCGTGCAAGCATGCAGATTTTGTAATGTTTGTCTCAACTGTCTTCATTATAGCGCTTAAATATTTGGTATTAGGTGTAATTAAATTTTTCAAAATTATTACTAATGTATATGTGCGTTTGTCTATTTATCCAAATTGCTTTTTTAGGTTGTGATCTTCAGGAACAAAGAAAAGTAATTTTAGCACTTTTTATTCAATTCCTTATCATTTTTCCTACTTTTAACGCGTGCACTTTGAACATCATGTGTATTGAAGGAGGTTTCAAAATTATTTTAGTGTGCGCAAAGGTTAGACCATAATCGCAAAAATCCAATTATCTCGCCGAAAACCTCGTACTAAATTGAGTTCCGGCTTTTATAATATGATATTGACTGCCGCCATATTTAATAAAAATCTTAAAATGTATATCAAACGTACTATATATGCGGGAAGGATGTGTGTGCTTGGCTTAGTATGTTATTTACAATTAAATATTAACTTGATAGCGGCAAAATCCGTACGGAATACCTTCCATTTTGCTCATATTTGAAATCGTGATTATATGAACTATAATGTTGTGACAAAGGTATTTACTGGTTGCAACACAAAATTGTGTAGAGAAACATTTACCTATATATTTATATTATTCGAATTGAAGTTAACACCGAGCAAGAAACTCCATGAATGTTGCCTCCCAAAAGCTTTGACGCCAATAAACGTAGTCAATTAGACTAAACATCAAAAAATTTCACAAATTAAAATTTTCGGTTTTGGCTCGATTTTTTATAAGTAAACAATTTTGTTTGAAATTTATATTATGTTATATACAACTGCTTTCTCTTATAAATTCAACTCTAAAAAATCAAAACACTAATAAAGTATGGTGTTAACTTACCTTCATTCCCGAGTTTCGCCTTTTTTCGCTAAATGTATGCACAAGAGATGCCAGAAACGTTCTCTTAAAATTGTCAAAACCGGCGTAAGCAAAATTGCTTATGCTTCGAAATACGAAATCCATATATAACTTTCAGCCAAATGGTTCTCAAGGTACGCCTATCAATTGAGAGCTACTCAACCTAACGGTACATAACAATGCCCAATACTAACTCAAACCCGCTTGGTTTGACAGTTTTTATTTATTTCTTCTTCCTCTGTTATTCAGCAAATTAACAACCGAAAATTCCCTGGATTTGTAAAAGTCCCAATGTGAATACAGGGTTCTTTGTTTGGGCTTTAGTAAAGTTGGGATTAGATTTGGAGTATAATATTATTAGTTATTTATTTTAGTGATTATTTGATCAAAGTTTTTTATTTTTAATTTCGCGTCTCATACGCCCGCCACGTTATTTTTTTAATAGTTTTTATTAAAAGACGCATATTACTCGTCCATCATGTAGGATAGAACAGAAGAGCGCGGAGTAAATTCCGATGTGTAAGATGTATATGAGCATTAGCAGTTATATGAACGAATTGATGGGGGTGAGAGCAAAAAAGTGTAAATGAGAGTAGGTTCATAAATTGTAGTAATATTCGGACAGACAAATAGGATATGATCAGTAGATTGTAAGACTTCACCTGGGCGTAACGGGTTGTTTACTATGTTGTTGTTGTTGCCAAGAAAGAATTAAATGCTTTTTGTCGATTGTCATCAGATCTGCAGGAACCCCCCTACAATCATCAAAATGAGATACTCTGGAAGACGCAATTTTATCTGCAGTATTATTGCCAGGAAAAACCATGTGACTGGGCACCCAGAGAAAGTGAAAATAAAATGTATCAGACTTGAGACTATAAAGTAAGGATGTGATTTCTAATATGTTGGGTTGAAGTTTACATGACACTATAAGGAATTTCTTTTGAGGTTGAGTACTCGGTAAGTGGATGGCTTTTAGGTTCGCGGGACATTACAGTGCTATATGGGTGATTTGAGAGGTAGGCTTCTATTTTATTATCTGGAAACCAAACGCCGCTGCATGCAACATCGATCTTAGATCCACCAGTAAATATGGGTGAAAAATTTTTCATTTCGGTATTGAACAAGTTCAAGTAACGATGGTGTACCTCTGCCGGAGTTAAATGTGGATTTTTTCTGGTAAGTATTTAATTGCTGGTCATAAATGTTGAAAACCAAGAGGAATTTTGAATAGGCTATGTGCACCAGAACGTTGCAGCTATTAATTTTGTCAGCAAAAATTTTAAAGAAGGATGGCGAGGAATTGAGAGATATAAAATTGTAAATGCAAGGTAAGGCCGGACAATTCTCAAAAGATAGAATTTTATTAGATAAAAATTTGGTGAGTAAATGAAATCTTTCTCGTAGAGGCATAACGTTTGCAAAATGTTCCAAGCTTAGTATGTGTAGAATTCATGCCATTAAGAGAAAGACGAAGACATTTCCATTGGATTCTGCATAATTTCAGAAGATCCTTCTTTGGAATGTCTAATAAGAATAAACAGGCGTATTCTAAGTTTGGTTTGATTAAACCAAGATAAAGTCCAATCATGCAAGAGGGATCAGAGCCCCAAGAAATATCACAAATGGATTGTAAGAGATTAATGAGTTGAAAACATTGTTCGGCCGTTTTGTTAATATAAGCTGCTGGCGGAAGTTGTGAGTGTAATACACAGCCTAAAAAGTCGAAAGTTTTAATAAACGGAACAGAAGAACCATAGGAGCAGAGGACTAATCATTGGGTCTCTCCATTTTTTTGAAAAGTAAATCATTTGGTGTTATTGACCGAAAATGTGAGTTGACACAAACCTGGATCAGACTTGGAACTAAAAATGGCAAGCACAGCCCAGGATTGAGGTGTTTTGAGGAAGAGAACTGAAAATTTTGTTAGTATATAAAATAAAGCGAAGACGACTGAATACAGATCTCTGAGAAACGCCTGTAAAAGATCTCATCTGTACAACAACAGCATCATCTTTAATTAACATCTTCTTATAGAGAAAGAGGTCGTATTACAAATTAAAGAGTTTGGCAGCGAGATTTAAAGAGAAAAGGATAGATTTTAAGATGTTGTTATTGACAGAATGCGTTATGCCTAGAAAGCAGGCTATGAGAACATGTTTCTTAGCAAACGGTGAATATATTGCTGACCACAAGGTTGTCTTGGGCAGATCTGCAACGTCTAAAACCAAATTGAAGATTGCTGAGGATATGTTTGGACTCGAGATACCATTCTAGACGTGAGTATAACACTTTCTCGAAAATTTTTCTAAGGGTGCAAACTAAAGCAGTAAATCTGTACGAATGAAGATTATCTAACGGCTTATTTGTTTTTGTTACAGTGAAAATTTGAAAGTCGTACCAGGAAAGGCGTATATAGCCGGTAATTAATTGTTAACTTCTTTTAGTAAGATTAATCTGCTTTTAATATTCAAGATTGAAACAGAGGGGATTATAGGAGCGAAAACTACTCACAGAAATCGTTGGTTTGGATGGTATTTAAAAAGTTACGGGTAATATTGTTAGTAAAGAAGTTTTGATATACTTTGGAACGTGGATATGCGAGTGGCAGCTGAATGCAAATAAAGACCAATTTCGACGTGACAGTAAGAACTACCTACTGAGTCGTGAAGGGTCTTCCAGGTACTCAGCGAACTTAGATTAGGTGCACAGATCGAAAGATCTATGCAAAAAGAGACGGAAACAATGTGAATAGGAATAGCATTATTTACTAAGACTAAATTGCTGCTTTCAAGAAAATCTCGAGTTTGTTTGCCGCTTAAATTGGAGAAACGACTATCCCAACTAACATTGCGAACGTTAAAATCACCACATATTAATGCAAATATGTTGGATCTGAAAGAAAATAACCTGTTAATTGCAGAACCAGAAACATTACGGTTAGGCGGAATATAATAACTACTGATCAAGAGTTCCCCAAAGGAAGTATGAATGACGCAGCTGCAAGCTTCAATAGGTACACAATTTGGAAAATTAGAAACGTAAGAGAAGGAAAACTTGTCAGATATAAGAATCGCCACACCACCACCACGAGAGAAGTTGGAGATACGATCAAATCTAACTACATTATAATTCTTAATAGAAATCATAAAGCTTAAGAAAAGTTTCACCAAGACAAGCCAGGGAACACATCGAACTCAACAAAAATATATTAACAGTCGAATTCACTTGACTCTTAGAAGTAAATCTTGTACTATTAAAAACAATTAAATAATAATTTATTTATAAATAAACAAAAAAGAAAAAAAACATGTACACAACTAGCAAAGAGGCAAACGCACAACCCGTTGAGATCCAAGTTGCAAGTGAACCCCTAAGCCACTGTAAACATGTAAAGAGTTGGTAGCCATAACAGTAAACAAAATCAGTTAATTTTTAACTTATAGTGAGATATTAAAATTGCAAGTTAGTTTAAATACGACATCGACAAAACAGTGCTTATTAAGCAATAGATAGGTTTCTAAAAACAAATGTGAACGAGGTAATCAGCTCATATTTACATTTACATTGGTTCAGGTTAATAAAGTGTGCAGAGAAGCTTATCTCATCAAGTAATGTGGACGAATTGGTAATACCCTTAATTATCTTAATTAAGGAGGCGGCAACAAAAATAAATTTGCTTTTCTCAAGTGACGGGAACCATAACGGAAGCAGACTATTTTCATAAGGAGGAAGAGAGGTAAAACCATCCAAATCCACATTTCTAAGAGCAAACAGCAAGAATTGCTTTTGAACAGGTTCAATTGAGTTTACAAAGAACTTGTAGGAAAGAGACCACACTAGAAAGGAAATACTCTAGTATTGGCCTAACTAAGCGCATGTATAGCCGTCTTGTAATGTAAGGATCCTCCATCCAGAGGTATGGAGTTTGAAGATCAATGAAAGCTTGCTGGAATGGAAAAATATAAGTTTAGATATTAGAAGCTAAATACTAAGTAACAATTCGCT